CAACCCCTCCAGGCAAACTGAGAGTGTCTCAGCCTGGCCAGGAGCAGGTCCTGGGGCAGTGCCACGCGGTGGCGCCGGGATTCGCTCCCAGGCACGGGAGGGATGAGCTGTGCTGCATCCCAGGAACTCCATGGGAAGAGCAGACTTGCTGGCCTTAAGAACGACTTTGAGCAGAAACGCATGAAGTTGTGAATATCCTTGATATATCCTTGGTATAAGCATGAAGGGAAGGGAACTAGGTTAGCTTTATAGGGCTGCCTGGCACTAAGTCTCCAAGCCTGGAGCTGTTCAAAGTCCAAAAAGCAGATTCTGGGCTGCCTCTGATGCCACAGATCATACGAAGCAGTTGCTTTGAGGTTTCAAAGTCCATGGGAATAAACTGTGTTTCAGAAGTCAGGCTAATTCAAAGCATTTTAAAAGAGATACGAGGGAAAAAAGGGACAGTCCAGTAACATTTTGAGATGGATAAACTCATGACCAGGCAAACAGAGAACCCATCACCAGCCTCTCTCTCTCTGCCAGGAATCTGTGGCACCCCTTCCCCTGGGCACTGGTCCCTGCTCCAGCAGCATCAGGCTGTGTTCCTCTTCCCCGAGGACAAACACAGCAGTGGGAAAGGAGCAGAGCTGCCTGCAAAGTGGGTCAAGCGTGGAATGAACCACCACAAGATCCTCCCAGACAGGGCTCCTCCAGGACCCCCCCCCTTTTTCCTTAGGAAATAAGGAAGCAGAAGAGAGCAGCGGTCACTGCACAATGCCACGACAAAGGAGGGTTTTCACAGCAAGGTTTTCGGCCAGGCAGGGGGTGGGGAGGTGTTTTCAAACCGCAGAAAAATAAAGGCAGTTGGGAACCAGGCTAAAGCCTTTCAGCCCAATCGATCATGCAATTATCAATGTAAACAGTGCACTCCTCTCTGACAGTTCAGCACTTTGGTTTTTAAATGCATCATCCGGAAAACAGCTTATAGATTTAATGAATTTTTATAAAAACAAACAACGACCAAAACAAACAAACAGAAAACACACACACACACAAAAATCCCCAAACAAAAAAAACCCCACCAAAATCAACAAAAAAAGCGCCAACCTAACCGACAAAAACCCAGACGAGGTTGGGGAAAATCTGATGAGGAAGGTGTATGCAGAAGTCAAGACAACCAAGTAACAAAGGTTTATTGTGCACTGATACCAGTAGCTGCAAAATGGAGTTTTCCCTTCAGAATCACTTTCCTGCAAATTTTTTTCCAGGATGCAAACTCTAATCACATGCTCCTCGTCCATCACCAGCCCCAGGAACTATTAGCGACTAATGTTTCACACACCAGCAGCAACCAGTAGCATTTCCATCCCAAAGCAGCTCAGTTCACCAGAGAGTAATTAAGAGATCAGTAGTTCAACCCATCTTAAAGAACAGAGCTTTTAAGCCGCAGCACAGGTTTTAAAAGGCTGAAACATGCAGCACTGCTTAATTTGAAACCAAAAGTGTTGTTTCAGCCTTTTTTTTCCTGTCTATATGCCAAAGCACTCCGGTCCCTTGCTCAAGAGAGCAGCCTGCCTTTATTCCCATCCAAAAGGAGTAGAGCCAAATGAATTAAGAGCACCGAAATAACTTTTTGTAAAACCACAGAAGGCTGACTCATGAACTGCTGACTCTGCAGGGCTTTGTTGGTGTGTTCATGGGGACTGAGATTTCTGCACAGTCCAGACTGATTTTCACTTCACACTTTACCTGTTTCCAGCCTTCTCCTGGAACTCGCAGAGCACCAATACTCTGTCAGCATTGCTGTAGCACACAGAAGACACCCTATGCCTTCTGCAAGGCTTCACAAATTGCTTGCAGATGTTCTACTCCAAAATCCAAACTCAGAAAAAACACGCATATGGTTGCAAAACCCGTGGAACACTGAAGAGCCATTTCTCTCATGTAAAACTTTGCTTTAACCTACCCAACAACCCCTAAAACACATCTCGAGTTTCCACGAGTGTTCCACATCCAGACAAAACAAGCAGCAACGAGTGATGAGTGTGTGACAAGTGCGTTAGGAGGTCACACCTTCAACTCACTGAGTTTGGAGCAGGATTTAATTTGAAATTCAACACTTGCCTCTTCTTGCAGACCATTTTTCCTGAATGAACAAGTGCATTTATCCTTCAGCCCCTCCTGAGGTCACAGCTCCTCTGACAGCAGGAACTGAGCAATTACTAAGGAAACAAAGGGGTGAGAGGGGAAAAGCAGAGGAATGTGTTTATTGAACTATGAAGAAAGGCCCAAAATAAACCCAGTGCTTGTGTAACAGGGCTGGGTTTGTGTTGTACAGGAGGAAATCCTTTACCTGTCAAATTCATGCTTAATTTTTACATTGTCAGAGCAGACTTCGTCCCAAGCCCTTGACACACAATTACTTTATGAAAATGACTTTGTGAGTTTGTTTACTACTATGAAACCAAAAATTCCCCCCCATGGCACAAGGATTGACAGGTACTGGCAGCTCTCACAAGTTTTTACTCTATTTCCAGATGACTTTTGATAGTAACCAAACTGCAGCACAGGCAGGTGGAATGTCACAGCTCTCACCAGCAGAATGTCCCCTCAGCACCTTTTCCCCAAGGCAGAATTCACACTGGGAAGGAGGAGGTAACCAATCTCTGTCTTCACTCTTCCATCCATGAAGTTATATTTCCAGGATATTATCAGGAGACCCAAACCAGGTAACAGTTCCCAAGCACTTGGAGCAAGGATGCTGAGCATGTAGGGAAGTGTCAGCAGCTGGAAACAATCCCACATGGGCACGAGGTAAGAGCCACATGCCTTGTTTTCCCTTGGGGAAACATCCACCTACAGAGGCAGCTCAGGCCTGACCTCCAGGGACCAACACAGAGTGAGCCATGGGCAGAAGGGTGAGCACAGGGTGGGAAGAGGCAGAAAAAAGGTATAGGAAAGAGGGGAAATGGAAGGGGAAACTGGCAAATCTATATACTGTTCTATTTTTCTTTTCAAAAACAAAGGTACCTGAATGATTTCATGGATAGGAATGTAATTTTGTCTCAATTTTTGACTTAAGGACCCCTGAGTGCTGGGCAGGCCTCCACCAGGGCAGGGAGCTCACTTCTGTCTGACAAGGCATCATTCAGTGTGACTTAAGCAAAATGCAGTATGGAAGCCCCAAACCCTCCCCTGTGTCCACCAGGATTCTCCTGGCTCTATCCAAGTTCTGAAGAATAAAAAATAGAAGCTTTTAAGAGTGGATGACAGAAAATTGTCATTTCATCCCCCACTGCCTTCTGACAACACAAACCCCAACATGAGCTCCCCACACTAAAAACTGGGTGTAACTTAAACACTGAACTACAGTGTGGGATTTCCAGCCACTCCTATTTTGCAGTTCATGGAATTCACCAATCTCTGTAGTGACAGAGGAAACAACATTGAACTCCAAAACAAGTACCAGCCCTAATATGCTCATTTCTCTGCATCCCCACAGGGTGAAGCAAAGGAAGCTTTGCTGAGCTGAACTAATCAATCAGCTGCCACTACATCAAACAGTGTTTATTTATATTTGCAGTTTTCTTTCTCCTCTTGAATCTTTCAAATGTGCTTTTAGCTGGTTAGTGCTCTATCAGGGTAACCCCTTTTTGTTCACACTGTGGTTTTCTCAATGGAATCTTCACACAGCCCAGCACAGCATAGTTGTGGAGGAAAGCACAAAAACTGAAGTGCCTTCCAACATTGTCCTTGAACTTTACTAGGAACCACTTGGATTTCTGTGTGTACAGAAAGCAAAGCAAGGCAGGGACTGCTCCCAGCCAGAGCAGCTGAGTCACACCAATTAAAGGAACGAACAAGGAAAACAGAAAATAGGGCAAAGTCATTCCTCTTGAAGGAATGGTGTCAATGGCAGCACAAAGCTCCTTCTACACAAATACAGAGAATGGCAAGCGACAGGAATGGAACATGAATTATAATCCTTTGCTGAGGAGAGTTTTTTAATAGTGATCAAAGCAGAAGTTCCTAATTTACTAAAAAAAGCCACTTCAGGTGCACTTATTTTTAGCATGCACTTCTGTAAGGGCTCAAATTGCAGACTGAGCTCTCTCCACTAGTCAACCTACAGGACAAGGCTGAAACTTTGCTGCAGAAAATACACTTGGGCCTTTCTGAAAAGGGATGAAGTAATGCTCAGTGAAATGCAGCATCTTCTCCGCAAGTTAAGGGATTAAGTGATCCTCCAGCTAAAAGCAAGAAAGCCCCCAAAATGTGTCTAGGACTAGGCCTCCAGGTATGTTAGGGAATGCACAGAAATTGTGCAAATGCCCTAGAAGTAAAAAGTGTAAAAACCCCAAAATCTACATCACGCCCAAGAAATTAAAAGCCTCTTAAATGATGCAAAGATGAAGAGTCCTCTGGTAATCCAACAGTCAGTTGTGTCCTTTCAAGATGTGCCCAGTGAGTTCCAAGCACAGGCCTTAGGGAGGCATAAAACCTGAATTTGACAAAATCATCAAACTGGGATTCAAATTCTGAAACAAGTTATTAGAAACAAAATATCTAAACAGAAGTTCACATCAACCCCATACCACTACTTTGCAGAATGGAAGTTTGGGCAATACACATAGTACTGAATGTCAAGTTCTTTCCTTTAATATTTAGAAAACTGGTTTTATTCTTAGTTGTTCAGAAAATGATTTGAAGTATTAGCACCTACATCGTCAATGACTCAAACTCAAGATTTACACTTGAAATAAAGCCACACTCCATCAGTTAAGTGATCCTGTATTCTTCCATTTT